AACTTCTCGCGCGGGAGAGGAGGAGCGCGAACTTCTTTGATCCTCGCGGACATTTCCATAAATTGTGTATAATTCTGGCCAATTTTACTCACTGCAAATCCTCTTTATTCGCTCCGCTTGCCATCGCATGATCCGCCCTTCTGGTTTCTATTGTTCACCGCTTTTGTTTACAGCCGCTGGATCCCTGTTGTTTTATTAAATACCGTTCTTGCGCGGCGACGAACCACCTGCAAACGTGTTTATTATTAATAAATCCGATTAGAACGTCTGAAGCTGGGGTTTAGAGAAATTGGAATTTTTCTACTCGGCGGGATAAATTTATTTCTCCTTTCTAACCATGATTAAAGCTATTATTGTTAGTCGCTTCTTTTTTTTAATTGTTTTTACGTTATACCTTTAAACAGTTAGCTATTTTTGACGAGTACAGCTGAGTGGTTAAGAAGGATATATATACTTTGATATCATTTACTGAATTATATGCTTTATAAAATTGTTAAAATTGTTGCATTTAAACAAGACGTTAAGAAAATCAAATATATAGTTACAATACGTAATTGCAATAATTTACACACTTTTCTCCGCTAACCGGTTAAGGAGTTATTTACGGAATTTTCTATTGTTAAAAATGCTCTATACAATACTCTTACAATACTCAATACAATAATTAATACAATACTCTTACATTACTCTTGCAATATTCTTACAATTAGTAAAAAACGGAAGATACAGTCTGCAATCGTCACACGATATTTCCCATAGAGCCTATAAAAAAAACTTAAGAAAATACTGACCGAATGAAAGTCAATGTTTCAATCAATTTCCATTTTTCTTCGACTCACGCGTTTTTCGTTAACTCGGGGGCAAATGAAGATTGACACGATATCGTAAAATATTTCACCGATCCCGAATACATTCGGCAGCCATTTAAATTCCACAGGCTTATCGTCGACTCGTTCCTGCTTCTAACACGATTAGAAGCGTTCGAATGGACCGAATTCTCTCCCCTATCATCGGACGGTTCCGCGATCGATGAAGGAAGTTGGGGCACGTCAGAGTTAACTGCGACGAGTATTAAATGAACGGGATCCCTGATCGGAATGTTGATCCTGTCACCGATCGATGTCCCGTTTCATTTTCTTTTTTCATCGCCTCCATATACCACCGAATCTGTCCGTGACTCGACTCGGAATCCGTCGAAAAGTTTTCAGCGGTTTCCGGCAGCCGCGACGAAGATGGCGTGCGCGCCGGTTTATATGTTAATTTATGGAGAGAGCGTGGAATGGATTCGGAGACAGCCTCCTCGTCGAGCAGCTGAGTGCTTAATACCGAGTCCTCGAGTCCTCGCCAATGAAAAATTAATTTTCCTTCGGGCACCGTGGATCTTCGAGTGGCTCCGGGAAACGCTCGATTTAATTCCGCTGACGGACGACGCTCCGTGACAAAAAGACGGCGCACTTTAAAATTAACGCGATTTTTAATGAATCATTAACGTTGATACCGCTATAAACGTACACTAATAAAATAGAAGTGAATTTCGCCGAAACAATTTTCTTTGGAAATGAAAGCATTTTTGTGGATATAAAGTGGGACAAGAGTAAAAATAAGTAGTAATTTAAACAAACGTTGCGAATATTAATGAATATTATTATGATTTTTATATTTACATTGTTCTATATTATCGAATATATTTTACCGAAAATCTATTTAATATTTCGAAAACAAAACAAGGTAGCAATTACTTTCTCTTTTCATCGATGTACCTGCTGTGCCGAAAAAAACATTCTTCCATTTAGCGATTTATAACTTAATTTATAACCTAAATAGAATTTCCCAACATATGATGTTTTATATCATTAATATTCTATTTAACCAACATTCAGCGAAGGCAAAAGAATATACCAAAAATGACTAAAACAGTGGCCTTAATAACTACTGTGACGACAGGTGAAAAATCGTGGAAATATTTTTATTTCGATATGATCTTATTGTTATTTTTATGCTGCCATATCATCTTGAACTGAACACATTTTCAATTACAAGGCCCTCTGCTGTTCCAAAGCTGACGAAATGGAACTAAAAAGCCAAGTATACAGTACGTCGTTAAGAGATCACGTATTTGGAAGCAGGAAGGTTTGCTCTATCAGTCCTGCAGAAACACGTTTCGAAATGGAGAGATCTCCCACATCGGTTGCTAATGCGTTAACCCTGCAGGGACAACATCGGCATGTTGATACTGACCTCGACGAATGTTTCGCAATTTATTACACAGGGCCAGACTATTAGATAACGCAAAATGGAGCACGGCTTGCTGTCGAGAATTTCAAGATAACTGTGAAACATACGACAGAGTCCGAATCACTATCAGACTATTATGAGTTAAGGGATCATTAACCAGAATGATACGTCATTGCTCTTCGAGAACTGAAGAACGGACGACGCCCCGAACGACGCGACGATTTTTCGTACGCGACTCCGTTTTGTACTCCAGTTTCAGAGATTTGAATGCTTGAAATAAAAAAAAAAGAAAAAGAAATTCTCTACTAGGCGATAAATGAGCCGTTTATTTTGAAAGTGGCATAAGTCACTTTTTTTTTTTTAATGGAAAGATGCCGTTCAATTGTAATTAACTCGATTTTTTTGAAAAAGTGACTTATGCCACTTTCAAAACAAACGGCTCAAATGTACCTGAATAATGTACATAAAAATAAATGCTCGAATAAGGAAGGCTCTGCTGTATTTGTCGTCGTGCTCTCGTTACTATTTTGCAACTAAATATTCTATTCAATTTCTCTCCATATAAGCTCTGATCCTACGATTTGATAACCAGATTGCAGAATCTCCGTGCAAAATGTAAATTATATGCATTAATTGCAAGACGTAGGAGTCAAGTGCAACTCTGTTTCACTCTCGAACAATTTTCACAAGTTGTAATTAACGTATAAACTTTCCTAGTTTCTCTCTATTTGTTAAATTCATAAATTCGTAGGATCCGCAATCTGTTAACACTTTAATGACCGCTCACACAACATGTGTGCGATGCTCTAATAATTACGTAGATGATTGCTTTAATGATTATCACGCAGAGGAAAACTATTCAATTAAATTTAATATAAAAATTTGTTGCATTAAATGTGTTACCATTGTCGTCGTTATTTTTCTTGTTTCATGTGTACGATCGCACACGTTGAATTATTACATGAATTACATGAATTTAGAGTTTCCTCAAATTAATTCCTCCAAAATATTACCGGCCCCTAAAAATATTAGCGGCCATTAAAGCGTTGATAACACCTGGAACTGAAGGTACCACAACTGGAGCAACAACAATGAAATTGATAATCGCTCAGCCATCTAGACGGGGCCACTTTATCGTGTCGCACGCGACTCATCATCGTTTTCCGCAGACCCGATTTCCCGAGCACCCGGAGCTCGGCTGTCCGAAGCACGCTTGACCAACCGAAGAAGCCCGTGGCCGGAAGAAAGGTTCTCCGGGCGATCACGGGGCGTNTTTTAATGGAAAGATGCCGTTCAATTGTAATTAACTCGATTTTTTTGAAAAAGTGACTTATGCCACTTTCAAAACAAACGGCTCAAATGTACCTGAATAATGTACATAAAAATAAATGCTCGAATAAGGAAGGCTCTGCTGTATTTGTCGTCGTGCTCTCGTTACTATTTTGCAACTAAATATTCTATTCAATTTCTCTCCATATAAGCTCTGATCCTACGATTTGATAACCAGATTGCAGAATCTCCGTGCAAAATGTAAATTATATGCATTAATTGCAAGACGTAGGAGTCAAGTGCAACTCTGTTTCACTCTCGAACAATTTTCACAAGTTGTAATTAACGTATAAACTTTCCTAGTTTCTCTCTATTTGTTAAATTCATAAATTCGTAGGATCCGCAATCTGTTAACACTTTAATGACCGCTCACACAACATGTGTGCGATGCTCTAATAATTACGTAGATGATTGCTTTAATGATTATCACGCAGAGGAAAACTATTCAATTAAATTTAATATAAAAATTTGTTGCATTAAATGTGTTACCATTGTCGTCGTTATTTTTCTTGTTTCATGTGTACGATCGCACACGTTGAATTATTACATGAATTACATGAATTTAGAGTTTCCTCAAATTAATTCCTCCAAAATATTACCGGCCCCTAAAAATATTAGCGGCCATTAAAGCGTTGATAACACCTGGAACTGAAGGTACCACAACTGGAGCAACAACAATGAAATTGATAATCGCTCAGCCATCTAGACGGGGCCACTTTATCGTGTCGCACGCGACTCATCATCGTTTTCCGCAGACCCGATTTCCCGAGCACCCGGAGCTCGGCTGTCCGAAGCACGCTTGACCAACCGAAGAAGCCCGTGGCCGGAAGAAAGGTTCTCCGGGCGATCACGGGGCGTTTATTAGCCCATTAGAACGGCGGTATTCGAGCTTTCACCGGCCATTTAGAGCGATAACCAAAATTAGCCGGCACACGCAGATGTGTTTACACGCGGGCACGCCGCTCCGGCCCGAGGGCAGTCGCGAGGCAGTCGCGAGGCAGGCGCGCGAGGGTGGCCGAGGAGAGCCGAAGAAGTGCGCGTCCCTCGCCCGCCGGGGGCGGGAGAGAGCGAGAGAGCTCTCAGGCTCGGAGGAGGTGGAAGTAGACCGTGCGAGGGAGTCGAACGGAGAAAGGGAACCTGTAGGAACACAAGGAGGACTGGAGGGGCTCGCCGAGGGGAGGCACGCCGGAGCGTGGAAACACAGGCGGCCGCGAGAAGGAGACGCCGCGGCGAGAGGGTTGCTGGCGTCTAGCGTGTGCGTGCGGTGCACAGAGGGCAGGAACACAAAGAGGGGCAGCTCCGACGAGGGGGCCGGAGGGGCGAATCTACGCGGAAGGGGTGCCCGAGGGTGCTCGGGGGTGCTCGGGGCGGCTGGCTCGGTAGGCGGCGGTGAGATCGGCGGCGGGAGGGCGGAAGAGGGCGCAGGAGGAATAAATGGGGACCGACGCAGTCCTGTCGGGAGCGTCACAGCGGGCGGACGCTCACCACCGACGCTTCTCTCGCTCGCCTAGCCTCGCCTCGCCTCGCCTCGCTCGTTCTCTCTCTCTCTCTCTCCCTCCCTGCCCCCACCCCCCGGCACCCCTCCTCGCTATCATGGCAGCGTAGCGCGTCTCTCTCTCTGTCTTTCTCTCACGCACACTCGCATACACACACACACACATACACACATACACACGCTCACCGTGTCTCTCTCGTCGTCATCTCCATCCAGCAACAGTCGAGTCGCGAGACGGACCATCAGCCTCACCCTGTCGGTTGCTCGGATACGTTGGCCAGTCTCGTCTGAGCCGCATCTGTCTCGTCCACCCTCTTTATTTTCTCTCTTCCGGATCCCGTTCACTCACCACTCTCTCTCTCTCTCTCTTTCTTCTTTTTCTTCTTCTCTTTGTCTCTGTCTCTCTCTCTCCTTGTTTCCATTTGTATGGAATCGTTCATCGTCTCGACGACCGATTGTTTTCCGTAGGGGTTGCTCCCGTCGACGGCGTGTTACCGTTCGTTCCGCGCACACGTCGCAGCTATCCCCGTGCGTGGCTCGGTCCGGTCTCGCCTCACGTGTGTCTCTCGCGATCGCGAAGATGCGCGGTCAAAGCCGCGACCGGTGGCCCCGTGACTACCGCCGACCGCCGTTGCCAGTGAATTTGTGACCGCGGACCAGTGAGAAGTCCACCGGCGGATGAGGAGGTCCGTCCCGGAGCTGATTCGATGGTCCGATGCTGCGAGCGAACAGTCGCGATTCCGCCCGTTCGGAGTGCCGATTCCCGCGAGCCTGCCCGTCAGAGGCTGCCACGAGGGCCGCGTGGCCCGCTGACGACCTGCCAGCGAGACAGCGCCGCCCGGCTGGTTGTCGATCGCTGCCTTCGCACGCGAGGTACACCGTCGCGGACCCAACGGGGGTCGTTGGTGCGGAGTGACGGCTCGAGCCTCTCCCGGCCTCGTTCATCCTTCCCGTTCGCGTCCGCCCGAACCGGGGACAGTGATCGAGAGAGAGCAACGGCTACCAGCGATCGTTACAGAGACGTCGATCCGACGCGACCGTCCCCGAATGTTGATTGATCACCCGTTACGGCGCATCGCGCTAATTCGACCGAGGCAGCGCGATGCTGCGAGCGATGGAATTACCATCCATCGGCGCCCGTGCCGCATCCGGGAATAGTGATTCCGGGGATTGGTGATCGTATTCTATCGCACGGTCTCCGCGGGGGATCGCCAGGAAGCATCGCGGGAGAGAGCCACGTATCGGTGAATTTGAAGTGCTACGTAATGGTGATCTTTTGGTTTCGTTTCGTTCCGTTTCGGTCCGTTTCGTTCCTCCGTAAGCTCGAGCGACGTCACGGCCGCGTCGTAGATACCGCCGCACGAGGGAAGATTAGGGCTTGCGATACGATTCCGAAGGGTGAGTTAGGGTTGGATATCGGTGGACAGCATCGAGGAACGCCGGCGGAGAGGGTGCCGCCTCTAAGGGGCCGCGTACAACGGCGTAAACAAGGGGCTTTTCACGTGCGTGGAAAATCCGCGAACCTGGAAGAACGGGTTCCGGAAATTCTGTGCTGTCACACGGGCGTCAAATCGACGGACGTTCGCTGTCTCTCATTCTTTTGCTAATGGTAAACCAGGAAAATTTGTCTTCCTTTTATTATTGGGAAACGAGGAAAATTTGTTCTTCTTTTACTGATGGGAAACGAGGCAAATTTGTCCTTCTTTTAATATTGGAAAACAAGGAAAATTTGTCCTTATTTTGCTAATGGAAAGCAAGGAAAATTTGTCCTTTTATTATTGGAAAACAGGGAAAATGTGTCCTCCTTTTACTATTGGGAAACGAGGAAAATTTCATCTTCTTTTATTATTGGAAAGCAAGTAAAATTTGTCCACCTTTTCCTAATGGGAAATGAGGAAAATTTTTCCTCCTTTTCTAATGGGAAACAAAGAAAATTTATCCTTCTTTCATTAATGGAAAATAAGGAAAATTTATCCTCCTTTTCCTGATGGAAAACAAGGAAAATTTGTCTTCCTTTCACTAATGGAAATCAAGGAAAATTTGTCCTCCTTTTCTAATGGGAAACAAAGAAAATTTATCCTCCTTTCATTAATAGAAAACAAGGAAAATTTGTCCTCCTTTTCCTGATGGGAAACAAGGAAAATTTGTCCTCCTTTCATTAATAGAAAACAAGGAAAATTTGTCCTTCTTTCACTAATGGGAAACGGGGAAAATTTGTCCTCCTTTCATTAATAGAAAACAAGGAAAATTTGTCCTTCTTTCACTAATGGGAAACGGGGAAAATTTGTCCTCCTTTCATTAATAGAAAACAAGGAAAATTTGTCCTTCTTTCACTAATGGGAAACGGGGAAAATTTGTCCTCCTTTCATTAATAGAAAACAAGGAAAATTTGTCCTTCTTTCACTAATGGGAAACGGGGAAAATTTGTCCTCCTTTCATTAATAGAAAACAAGGAAAATTTGTCCTACTTTTACTAACGGAGAACGAGGAAAATTTGTTCTCCCTTTAGTAATGGAAAACAAGACAAATTTGTTTTCCTTTTACTATTGGAAAACAAGAAAAATCTGTTCTCCTTTTTACTAACGGAAAACGAGAAAAGTTTCTCCTCGTTCCTCACTAAAAAGTCAGGGAAAGATGATCAACGTCCGTTTTTTTTTCAACGCTCGCGTGAATCTAGACCTTCGCTTTCGGCGCAGTTTAAACGTTCTTCAGTCTTTAGTGGCGCCGATATTTTCTAAAGAAACTTTCGCAGCTGTTGCTAATACAAGATTAAATTTCAAAGATATTCTGGTTCGGTAAAGAGTTTTAGACGAGATTCGAAGCACGGACGATCCTCGGATGTGCACGAGATCGTTCGCGTACGGAAAATGTATCGTTGCAGCGAGATTCGTAACGTACACAATTATTGCGCCAGATTTGAACATCAACGTCTCCGCGGATAGAATACGCACACAACGTGCACGCGGAGTTCAGATTCCCCGGAATGCGAGTCGTTCGAACGCGTAATAATCGGCAGATTGCGTATACTTGTGCGTCTGGAGCCTATAAAAATCTGAATAGGTCGATAAGGCGTAAAATTCCGGAGGCTTTGATAGCGTTTCAGATCACTGTTCTTCTGCCGGAGCGGCGGCAAAGAACGGCACTTGGATCCCGTGAGAATGAAAATTCGCGTGAACGTGCATGATCTTTGCACTAGTTTTATGGAACTCGTCAAAATGACGGGTCGCCAGTATTTTTACTTTACAATGAGTCAGATCGTAAAGATACATTCGTATGTTATTTATCCAGTATACATGTCGCTTGCGGCAAATATTTTTAATTCGTTGTATAAATTATTGTATTTCATTTCAGTTTCATTTATTGTGTTTTATTCCAGTTTCATTTGTTGTAAAATATTTTATTTCAGTTTAATATGTTGTATTTTATTCCATTCCATTTAATCTCTTTTCATTTGATTTCATTTTACTTTCTTAACATTAACATTCGCTGAAAATCAGAATAAATGCCTTATTGTTACCTTCATAAACTGATAGAAAACAGTTGCGTTTAGCGTTCCGTAAATCTTGTGTGAATTACGATCGATCTCACAGTTTCGTTCAACGTTCGCGCTATCGATGAGTCGGTCCGAAAAAAAGATCGGGCAATCCAAACGAAACGGAGGGAAATTCTCTACAGATATAGACCGAAGATATAGAAGGATAGAGAAAGATCGCGTTTGCGAACGTAATACTTCCGTAATCTCGTAGCTCGCGATAGTCACGCGGAAGAACGTGACTATAAAATGTTCCGGCGACGGCCGGATTTATCAGAGATTTCGGTGGATTTCGGTGGATAAATGGCCAGGAACGCGGCGAAACCCCGAGCCGATTATTAATTCAGGCTCGCGGTGTCCCTGGTGGCGGATATAAACGGTCCCGCGCGACAATTAAAAGTTCAGGCGAAGAAAGTGGTGGTCAGGGATCGATCGTTTGTTCGTGGGAACCGGTCCGGCCCGATTGGGACCACGGGAGCGCCGATACACGCGAATATTTAATCCCGACACCGGCCCAGCGAGAGCCTTGATCTTCAACCGCTCCGAATAATTCATACAGGACAGGTCCCGTTCGAGGAAATTCGCAAATAAGTCACCGGTTTCTGCTAATTAGATTTTAACGAAGGCCACGCGGTTAAATAGCACCGCCGGCAGCACATGTCGCAGGGGTGAACTGCCACGAACGGGACACTTTTGTTTACTACAAGATAAGAAAGAACACTGAATCACCCGTGTAACTCTAGTTTGAAACATATTCGAATGATCGGTTCTTCTACTACCAACAATGCACAGCGTAAATGAGTTTCACCTGCGGTTACTTGCTTTCTTTTTAATTCTTTATGAAGCGCATTTTGTCACATTTATCATTGATGATGAATTGAATGAATTGGTTGTTTCGATAGGACAGTGTAACAAGATCAAGTAATCTTGGTGTTAATCTCGCTTTTTTTATTGATTGTAAGTACATATAATATTATATAATGATCTTAAATTATATAAATCTTTCTCTGCATCTTTGGTCGGTATCACATTTTAGTATTTTGTGACAAGAAATATATTTCTTTCAATGAAAAGAAACTGAAGAAAATTAACAAATATATCTGGATAAAAATGTCTTCAGAATTATTTTAACAAAAATCCCAGAAATTAATGGCATTATAAGCAAACGAAGTTAAGCATAAGAAGAATTAATTGTCTGCCACAATTACGTATTAATTGGTGGCGGTTTCAAATTACGTGTGATTATATATGCATAGTACGGTTACAAAACAAGTATAATTTTATTATAAAATGATTCACCATACTCGAGATAATGGCGATGTTCCATTCATGATAGTTCTCCACTCCAATTTTTACTTCGCTGCCGGGTTCCCTGCACCTTGGGACATTTCAAACAACGACCCTCTCAGGATACCAGACACCGTCCATTCGATTAGTATTCGATAATTGGGGTGCCGTTCTTTCTCCGTTCCGCTGAAACAGTTCGAATTGCCGTTGCGGCGGAGCCGGGAAGACGATTATCCGGCGCGTACGGCCGCGTTGATTAAATTCCCGAGGATTTCGAGCTCCGGCCGTTGTTATTTCGGAAATATGATGTTATTAAATTAATCGGCGCCGCGATAGGAAGAACGATTGTTTCGCGTAATTTCTGCAGTAATTAAAATTATACACCCGGCGAGAATGTCTCATTAAAATCTGCTTCCCGCCAAAACGAGCACCCGCCGCGCCACTGTAATCATTATAATCACGAGCGCCGCGCACTCGAGGCGGCGCCGAAAAAATTCTGTTATGCTTGAATTACGTGGCAGAAAGTCGCTGATTAATAAGCGCGAGCGAACAGGCGAGATTAAAGTTCAGTCTCAGCGAGCGAAACGTTTCGGTCGCCGGTGATTGCGGCGATGCGAAACCGTCGGCCGGCCGGCTGTAGATCGAATACCGGAAATGCGGTGGAGATGTACGATAGAGGATCGGTGGATCGGATTTCTCCACCATTTGAAATGACGTGCGACGCTTTATTCGAATTTCCCGCGAAGCTCTCACGTCCCGCGATCCCTCAAATCACTCGCGGAACAGACGCGGTTATAATTATCGACGGTTTGTTGTTTCAGTCTCCATTATCGCCGGCCGTGTTGTCATTTCGCACATTTTTGCGCGCGGACGACGCCGCAGATAGTTCGTACGAGTAATTTTGGAATCACTGCATCTCGCTTGTTGTATTCGAACGCATACGAAATCGCTGTCTCGAGTTTCTACTGTACAGTTTTCTAACTCTATTTTTCTAATCATTTTTCTAACTTCGTTTTTCTGATTTTCTAACTTCTTTGCCTTCTATTTGTAATCTTCTAAATTAATCGTTTATGTTCACAGGGTAGAAATTCAGATCAATGTTTCGATTGCTCGTTAAAATTACATTCTCCCTAATTGACGCTCAGATTGTACACAAAAATGGACAATGTAGGAAGAGCAGATGCGATTATTCGCGAATTGTTCATTTTTTTTTGCACAATCCGAGCGTCAATTAGGGAGAATTTACCGTACTCCGAACGTTCGAATAAACGAAGATCTGCGAAATCAGGACGCGGAGGCAGGGAGAATAATAAGTTAGAACACGAAGTCAAGTGTACGCAATTCTTTGGAATTTCTTCGGCGAAACGAGGTCTAGCATTGCCGTGTAATAGGATCGCACTCTTACGGTTCGCGTAAAGCTGCTTGCATTTTTCTAGCTCTTCGCCCCTTATCTGCCTTTCAGCCCGCTGTCGACGTTTATGAATAATTCCATCGATCTTATAATTTCTGCGTCGCTGTCCAGGAGAAAGCAGATCTAATTAAGCTGCTTCAGAGCCGAATAAATCTCATCTGTAACAAAGCACTGTCTAAAAAAAGCTATTTCAACTCACTTTATTGAAATATTTATATTTCAATATAATATATATATTATAATAATATATATATATATCGTTTGTTTATCCTTCTTTTAAATTATGCTCTATATATATATATTGATATTTCAACATTTATTGAAATTGAATAAATTTCACCCGCGATAGAGCATAATTTAAAAGAAGAATAAACAAACG